CTGGATTATCAGACAGAAAGATGAAATGGAAGATTGCTTCTGGAGAGTGGACAATGGCTTACTGTTTCATCTGCAAGTCTTTCGACTGCAAATAACCTAATTACGGGTGGAATTTTTGAGTGGGAGTTACTAAGGGCCACTTGCAATGATTTGGTTATCTAAGGACCTGCAACTTGTTGAAGTTTTATTCCAGCTAGGCACAAAGGGGTTACTAGAGTATCTCGTATGACTTGGATGATTCCATTGCATACTTTCAGGCTGCGAATTCAAAATAAGAGGATGCTCGTGCGTAAAAATCCTAGCATACTTTTGGGAGGCAGCATAAAATAGACGAGTAAAAGATTAAGCAATAATAAATTGATCATATATTTATTATCTGTATATCAAACATTAATTACTCATTTTCATTACAATTTGAAAATAATTAGTTTTTAGCCTTTAAACTAAAATCAATCGAAAATTAGTGCTATTTATAATAATTTAATTAATTTAGCCTAAACCCATTCGGTTCTGGTCTTTAATCCCTATGATTCACTCAGCGCACAATATGAGCTATGCCCAAGTGGAGGGCATTGCCCCTTAGCTCTCCTCTCTGGCCCACTCCTCGACGTGGAGCTGAATTCCATTAGGGATTTGCGCGTGCCTCGCGCTGACAGCGGCGACTGCTGGTTGCCGTGGCGGCAGACAGCGAGGCAGCAGCGTTATCCGACAAATCCGCACTGCTGCGGCCCCAGACACATCGACAGCTCCAGGGAGATCCCGCCAGTCGGGCCGCCAAAACGAAGCAGCGAGAAAAATAGAGCAAAAGTTATGAGGAAGCGACCGACGCGTCGGTTGAAGTTTGCCGCTCATAACTGCGCAGCCGACACCAAAGGCAGCTAATAAGAATTCATCAGGCAGAGGCAGAGGCAGAGGCAGGGGCAGAGGCAGGGGCAGATCGAGGCATCGGGGTACTGGGATCGAGGGTCGCCTGCACGCGCCGTAATTGCAACGCAACAGGAGGGCCGGTCGGCCCGTTCGGATCTGAAGCTGAAGCTGAAGCTGAGGCTGAGCTTGTGTCTGTATCTGTATTTGTGTGTGTGTGTGTGTGTCTCTGGACCGGCGGCTGCTGAAGCAACTCTCGGTAGGCAGCGGCCTGGCCCATGTTTATAAACTTAAAGTCTGTAATCACATTAGCCATGTAGCCAGCGAGTGGAGAGTCCGCCTGGCTGGACATTGGGGCCAACTGTTGCAGCTTTATCACCTGACTGTTGCTCGAGTCTCCTCTGTCCGCGTATCCCACGATCGCGATCGATGACAGCACGTACAATTTTTTTTCGATTGCTGCCTCAGCTGCTGCCTCTTGCTCCCCTCCCGCTCCCGCTCCCGCTCCCTGTGCCGTCGCTCGCCTTTTGCGGCTCAGCTATGGGCGTGTCCGCTGTGGGCGTTGCAGGGCACATTCAAGATAAAATGATTATATTGTAGGAAGTGCAGGTCGCCGTCGCCGTCGTCGTCGTAGAGTGCCTCGTGGGTAATGAAGCAAAGGAGTATCACACAAATCAACATATAACTCAGACGCGACGTGTTGATGTCTATTGAGGCGCATAAATATATCATTGCGCAAATTGGACAGCTATCCAGCTGGGGAGCGTAACTGCCCCCAAAGGACAACCCATTGATGCTGCAGATACTAAATGCAATGCTCAATCCTGTTAAATATCCGTCCATGATTGAATGTCCTGCTCAATTGATCATTAATTCATGTTGATTACAGAAACAATGATGACTTTATTATAATCATATTCCACTTTACATTTGTGGTTTATGGAGTCTATCGACTTCTCTCATGAGTTCGTTCAGAAAGAGTATAGAAATATACTTATATAGACAGTTGTTAGCCCAGCCTAACTGCCTTTCGGGCTCATTCTAATTAAATGTATGTGCAGCCCTTTGAGCTGTCGCTGAATTGAAGTGCATGGCAAGASGATCCCACTGATCCTTRTCGATTTGTAACCCCCAAATTGTGCCTGGTTAGCAC